ACGTCGCCAACTGCTTCTTGTCTCTGGCGATACGAAATAATGTTGCCAGAGATGGCAGACGCCTCATTGGGGCGCAAAACGCATCGGCCGAGCCCAGCCGAGTTTTAGTAGTTGCCGTTTTTCCACGGGGACGAAGGCATAACGAGAACTCCCTACGACTGGTGTGCACACATCAAATCTTTGGTCACAACTTTACAGAGTACCCGTACAACAAATGATGAGTGGTAAAAGCGCAGGCGGCGATGCACCAGGCGCGCTGGCGCGAACATGCATTTTCGCATGATTCCAACTTGCGGAGAGATCGGTTGTATTGCTGGGATGTGACTACGGTGCTGCAGTCTGAAAATTTGACACGCCTGTATACAAGGCTCTTGCCTAGGCGAAAGCTCATCTTGTGCTCGGTGGCCGCATATTAACAGTAGACATCCTCAAGAAAATACTGCTTCCCTCTTAGTCTGGTTGTCGAGTTAACTGGATGCCAACAGTGTCTCAAACTAAACCTTAAATTGCGCGTACGCGAGACATAGGAGCGCTCTAAATCTGACTTCGAAATGTTTCGGTCGCACACGGGCACAGAATATCCTCGTATAGTTTCAGCTCCCTAGCACGAGCTGCTGGCGAAATCGCTCTTTGTTACAACCATCTTCGGCGCATCTGAATTCGCCGTACAGACGAATGCCAACGCTCAATACACCCCCCGAGTATGGGAAGCAAATGTTATAGTGAAGTTAGAGCGCTCTAATCAACACAGTTCCTGAGTTCCTAAGTTGGTGTTTCGCCAGCGGTATATCAACCTTAACTTTGATGTATCCGTACCACGCCACATAGATTTGAAATTTAAAGATAAATTTGAAATGTTTAGCCCACACAAAGATAACATCCCTGCGAAATTTTAGGTTCCTGTCCTCTTTAATTCCTGAAATCGCTTTCCCGCCAAAAAACTGGCACAAATTCTCTTAGACGTTCGTCCGTGAGACCAGACGTATGTGAACAACGATCTTAAGAGCGGGGCATCGCAAGTTGACTAGGAGCATACCTCAACAGTTTCAACTTCCCAGCTTCACTGGTTGATGAGTTGAAAGTTGCGAACACAAACAGCGACAATCTCCCGGCAATATGCGTTCTTGGATTTGCATAAAGATGCAAAAATGCATAGTGAACGCTGGTTAAATACATACATAAATACCTAACACGAAGAGAGAAGCGTGTAAGCCTTGGCTTTAGGATCAATCCACAAATGGCCACATATATGACATTGGGCGCCGTAAGTTAGTTCTCTCATTCCATCTTATCGCTTATAGGGAGGAACGTACGGTTTGACACGTCCGAATGCATAGTGAACAAGACCCGCAAGAGCTGCAGCTGGCAGTGAGCCCGTCAAACAAAATGTTGCCGAGCAAATAATGAACGTCATCGCCAGTTCTGCCTAAAAAAAAAAAAACATTCAGTTCCTGGAAATCTTTTCACTACATAAAAATAGTAATCGTCAGCTGCTTGGTAGCATGCACACACTTCACATCTTTCTAAACCCCTATTTCGTTATGCTTAAGTTTTCGTGCCAGTATGCTCGCTGCCAAATGGTGTCAACAGAAATAGAAAGCCTGTCTTGTACAGGAAGTAAATATGCGCCATAATTTCCAGTTCAAATACAGCAAGCAAAAAAGCAGTTGACTCTCAAAAAATTCACAGCATCACGGACGCCCCTAGAAAAGACTGAAAGGACACACCTTAATACTACTATGTTGAAGCCAAGGATAAAGCGATGCAAATGGGTACAAATAGGTAAATGACAGAAGCAGAGACGAAGGAGAGACAAAGACAGCAAAGCAGCGTGAAGGATTCTTGGTATGTCTCTTCACAATCATATAGGCAGTCGGACTTCCCATCATAAGAAAGGTGTATAAGACACCACTGTGACTATGGGACAAAATAAAGTCTGATGCGCAGGGCGTAACGCCGTAGAACGTACCACCTGTCTTGCGGACAACTGGTAGATGTCAAGTGTTGGAAAATGGTTACTGATCGATTGGCCTCCGAAGAGGTAGTCACAATGGCTGATCAAACGGTAGTAGTGACTGGAAATGCGCAATCGAGGAGCGAAGGGAATGGCATAGCAGCGTGTAGTATGTGGAGGAATCCTAGTGACACTGCCAACATGAAATTCTCACATCCTTGTCCAGGTGATTCTGTTACTATGCGTTTTGTGCTGTGTAACAGTATTGCAAAACGCATATTGTCACGGGGTTGTCTATGTGTATGCGTGTTTGTTTGTGTGCCCCACATTTTGTCCCGCACTTTCAACTCGGGAACTATAAAAGCTAGGCAGCTGAAATTTTGGTATAGTGTTCCCCGCCAACGGATGACGCGGCAAATTTAAATTCAGCCTTCCCGTACTCGCGGGTAACACGTACGGCCCCGTGAAAGTTTTTTACGGGTAAATTAATATCTCGGGAACTACGGAGTCTAGGAGGCTTAAATTTTAGGGTAATGACCCCCTGCCCAAGCTCAACCTTACCCATCCAAATTCAGCGTTCCCGTGCTCTCGGGTATCATCTACGGGCTATTTACGAGTAAATTATTATCTTGGGAACCACGGGGTCTAGAAAGCTGAAATTTTACGGTAATGACCCCCTGCTCACGCTCAACCTTGCCTATTCCAATTCGGCATTTCCGCGCTCTTGCGTAATACCTACGGCCTTGTGAAAATTTTGGCGGGTAAACTATTAAATCGGAAATCACGGAAAGATATTCACCCTTCAAGGTCTCGAATCCAGCTTTCATGCGCTGGTGCGTGAAATTTTTAACTATTTCCCAGTGTATGAACTATTTTTGCATAGACTAAAGTACAAAACAGTGAAAATCATTAATAGGCAATCGTTCGATGAGCCGAATTGCACAAAACGCATGATCGTATCGACTATCTGGTGCGCGTTGCTATTTATTCTTGGTATTTGGTTCGAGACAAGAACGGTATCAGTGCTGGAGTGGCGTCTACTTTCCAAGCTCGAACGATGAAGAAGTAGCTAAAGAGCACTTCAGCTTCCACTTCAAGCAAGGAGTCAAAGCTGTAATCATCCTGCTTCGAAGCGATCCTTCGAAGACAGACCACCGATATCCTTATTAAGAGTTGGGTACAACTGACAAAGAATTGTCAAGCCATTCATCTTTCGAGTGTTTTAATCTTTCAGATAAGCAGAGGAGATTTTCACTTTTGAGTTAAGGCGCAGTATCCCCGCGGAATGCACAACATGCCAAGACATATGCGCCACATGCAAGCATACGCGACGCACAGACAAGACGCGTTTTACGGCAAATAAAAGAAATACACAACACGGCCCAGTATACATCACACAAACGTAATAGGGTATGACACGCGTGTCATGGACAAGCAGACTTGCATGACACACGTGCGCAGCATAGTATGGCACATGATGCCTGCACACGCATTATGATACAGCACGTATGCCATGCACAGTTTCGCAATTTTCCACGAATTTTCAGCAAATATCACCAACGTGATCGGCCTGTCACGTCAACCCACCGACCGTCAGTTCCGATGCATAAAAAATCATTGGCCACGCGCACTGGGAGGCCCCGTGCAATCATGCGTTTTTGCAGTGTTTCATGCTGTAATAAGATTACTGGAAATTCCGCTAGCTAGAAACCTCTTGTACATACTGGTCCTCGAATTTCGGGAACTTAATTATCCACGCTATGCTTGGACAGGGAACATTCCCTCGAAATCCCATGTTCCCAGCTTTCTCAGTTTCCGAGTTACCGAAA